TATATATATATATATATATATATATATATATATATATATATATATATATATATATATATATATATATATATATTTATTTATTTATTTATTTATTTATTTATTTATTTATTTATTTATCCATTTATTTATTTATTTATTGATAAAAATTCCCAGTAGAAAATAGATATTGAATTCCAAAAAATTTCAAAAAAAATTTCAAAAATTATATACATGTATAATATATATAATATCGTTCTCTATATACATATGTACTATAAAATATATTTTGGTTGAAGTCTCTTCATCTGACTTGTGCAATTACTATATGATGTCATATCAAACACTTCATATCCTATGATATTGTTTCCGATCGCTGTTGACCTTTCGATCGTTACCAAACAACCATCAGCATACTTTTCCAGCCTTCTGTTGAATCTTATTTTTTCTTAATCTCGATCCATTCTTCCAGTCTGATGTAGAGTATTTATGTTGATTGGTTTAAGATACCTTCTTGAAAAAATATCAACGATAGGAATTATTCAAGAAATTGATATTCTACTTTAGTACATTCTTTAATTCATTTTCGTTTTTTTTTCTGGACAATCTGAAAAGTGCAACGACTTCAGAATTTCTTCCTGAGAATTGTCTTAATCCGATTTGCATTAGAAATTCAGCAACTTTCCATTGCTGATGTTGTTGCCAGCGGTACTTAAATCACCGAGAAATATCTTCTTTTTTTCCCGGAATTTTAGGAAATAGAAAATGCTTGGCTTAATCCAACTTCTGATGATGCAAAATTAATTAGTAAACTGTTTTACTCTCATCACTCTTGATCTCTTTAGTAAGATTAGGTTATTTAATAAGAAATGGAGATGAAGGGAATAGATGAGAGATAATTTAATAAATGGATGAATAATTCTCTCATTCTTCCACTCATCCGATTTTATGTTTTTAAATTAAATATTTTCCAGTAGTTCTTTAACATAAATATTCACGAACATTGTTTTACAATAAGATATTAAGTTTTAAAATAATAACATCCGGTTAATTTTTTTTTCCTGATAACGTTTCAGTGTAACTATCATTGATTTCCAATACCAGTTTATATCACTAATTATCAACAAAACAAGCTTTCCATTTGTAAACAAAACAGAAAAAGGAAAAAGGAATAATTTTTCTATTGAATTGAAAATTATTGCTGATTATTTTTTTTTCCATTTGGGTAAATACAACTTGAATTGCTGTAATTTTCACTCGAATTTTGAACAAATAAGTTGGATTAGAATTACAGGAAGAGTGTCTTCATATTTTACAATACCATTTTCATTCCGGATTACAATAGTTCCGACTTTTAGCAATGACCTTCTCAGTTCATATTTACTGGATATCAATCGTAAAATAATCGGTAATCAGAATGGACAATATGTTCAATGGAACTGATGCTGTTGTCCCGATCGATCAATTTGTCAAATACATCATTTTTCAATGATGCAGCCATCACTGTTCGAAATAATTTCAATTTCAACTTACGATGCCATCGAACCAGTTTATTTCATTCATTGGTAATTCAGCAGAGACTACTTGTCTACTCCCGATACCATCATCATCATCATCATATGATCAGAGCTTCAGTACCATGTTTGGTTATCTTTAAGAGACACAGAAAACATATTACATCAACAGTAGTGGTCTCTCCTTTGAATAATTATGTATCCAAAGTTTGCCAGTTAATATTGGAAAATGGTGGGGAGAGGAAGCATTGACTAAATTTAACAAGAATTTCCGGAAAATTTCCGGAAATCTTGGAAAATGAAATCGTGTGAAAATGATCGGAAAGAATGGCTTGATGAAGTGAAAATTAAAAAATTACCTTTGTTATTGACAGTATTTGAGAAGTGAGACGACAGCGCGGTCAATTATCGCATCTTTCAACTTTTCAGTTCTTATTAGGTGACCCCCCATCTGTCATCATCTTCCTCCTCCATCAGTCGTCTCAATAATATAAATTTATCGAAGTCAACGTCGTACGGCTAACATTTGTGTCATCTTTGCTCTGTGTTCGTGCGTGTATGTCTGTTTGTGTGTATTCTTGCGTGTATGTGTTCGTGCGTGTATGTCTGTGTGTATGTTCGTGCGTGTATGTCTGTGTATATGTGTGTCCGTGCGTGTATTTTGTGTGTGTGTGTGTGTGTGTTCATGCGTGTATGTCTGTTGTTCGTGTGTATGTGCGTGTATCTGTGTGTGTCTGTGTGTATCTGTATGTATGTTTGTGTAGCTGTGTGTCTGTGTCTGTCCGTCTGTATATCTGTGGGTTGAGGTGATATTCTGCTTAACTGAGGGCAGGACAGCATTCCTGCTATTGTCGACATTTTTTTCATACTTCCCATTCATCCCACAATTCCTGTTATACAACTTTTTGTTTATTCCATTATTTATACATCACACGTATCGTTGTGTTGATGCTAGGCTCCACGCATCGCACATATCGTTGTGTTGATGCTAGGCTCCACGCATCGCACGTATCGTTGTGTTGATGCTAGGT